CTACTTTACTCAAGCTCTCGATATGCAGACATATAAACCTGGCAGACTGTTGGCATAAGTTCAACATATTATGATCGTTCAGTAGCGCGCTGCGTGCTGGTATGAGAAGGTACTAAACATGTAAGCCCAGTTACTTTACTCAAGCTCTCGATATGCAGACATATACCAAGGAAAAACTTGTTAGGCACGTGCGCTAAAGTACAAACCTGTAAGCGTCGTCACGAACTCGTCCGCTATGTCTCCATTCAACAAATTAAATATGGTAAAGTAAAAGCATTCTGAACCTCATTCATGATGACACGTAGATGATATATAGTGAAAGAACTGTGACATGAATCATTGGATAGTTTCCGGGTAGTCTCTATTCATCACTCATCTATGTGTCGTGACTAACATGAATTATTCAATATCCTTTTATCCTATTAAACACACGTTGAACCGTATAAACCGTAGCGCGCTGACAAAAAAGACGTAGCGCGCTACGGTTTACTACTGAATTAGTTAAATAGGAGACATGAGCGTGGCGGTTGCAAGTACTTTAGCTGTGAGCTTTTACAAGGTTCTCGTGCTTTGAGTTTGGAGCAGTTCCGAGGTTTCGCCTGGAAGGGGAAGAATGACGTTTCGTGGTACCTTGTGGTTTCAACAGCGACCTTAAAAGTTCACCCGACCCAGACAACTTCTGGTCAAGCCATAGTTCTTGCTTCGGTCGGACTTCCAATGCTATGCCTTGGAGACCTTGGAGATGGATGGAGGGGGTTTTCTAAGAAGCCGATGGACGTGAGTACTCCTATGGCTCGTTGAGGCTCAGCTAGTAGGTCGGCAAGACTTTAAACACTGTAAGGCCTGAAGGTCTTCGGTCTGACCGGTCGCACGAGAACGCCAACAGTTCCGACTACATGATTTCTCACTCCGTCACCCTCTTACTCGCCAAACCTACGTTCTCGTCGAGTGTTTATTATTTACCGAGATATATACGCCTTGTACCCCTTTACCATACAATCGAAAAAAAAAGCAAACATATGTCACGGGACTAACTTATATCTGGTTGAGGTCATTTCCACGTAAGCACCTGCCGAAAATGAGTTTTAAAACGCAACGGTTCTTTGTAACTATTTGGACTTGTAAGGCAGGGTCGCAGGGTTTCCAAGCTACTCAGACCGGCAAAAGAGCAAGCAGGCCGGGACGGCCGGGCTGAAACACAATGAGAAAGAGAAACAGCGACGAGAAGAAAAAACGCGGGGGGATGGAGCTTGAGTTTGTACGGCGGTGAGCAGACCTCCGGACGATCGGGCTAGGGGAGCGTATGGAGATGATCAGCGACGCAATAGTCGCTGTACACAAAGAGACGGCTGCGAGCGATAGAACGTTAGCGGACACCGTGATCGCAGGTCAAGACCCTGGAAAGGTTGTTGCTGCGCGGAGAGATAGAGCCTACGGACTTTCGAGGAGTTTTTCGGGACACACAATGAAGTAAATCCCTCTGTAGACGCAAACATAGGCCGGTACTTCTGCCCCGGGAAACACAGTGAGCCCATTTGGTGTGGATAGTCCATTCCGAGTGGATTACGAGAGATACAACTAACGAGTTCTGACGACATCCTTGGATAAGCACGATTGGACCACCTCCGTAAAGTAACACTTCGACGTCAAAGCAAAAGAAACAAACTACTGGCGGAGGAGCGTCAGTAATGTGGAAGGTTGCAATCTGATATGCGTCAGTCACGAGATGTATATCGAAGTCAAGCTGACCACCGGTGACAGGGCAAGGGTTTCCGATGCGAACTGGGTTACGGATCCTGTCAAGTAACCGAGTGTAGAGTTGTCAATCGCCAAAGAATACGGCTACGTTAGAAGTACATTCAGTTGTCGTACAATACCAGTAACCACATAAATTCTCTAACTCTGTCATTACGAAAAGTCTACCCCACAACTTCAGACGCCCTCCCTAGGTCGGGCAAAGTTTGATAAATTATTTTAAGGTTAGTGACCAAGACACATACCGAACGAATTGAGTATGGAAAAGTCCTCTGACTGGACAGAAATCCCAGCTATAATGACGCCTACCGGAACGTGAGTAAGCACGAGGAGTCTCGAAGTTCAACGACTCAAATAGGTGCTTTGTACTGAGTCTTTGTTAGCAAGCTGCGAGGGCAGAGTACTGACCGGACCCAGGACCTTGGTTTCGTTTTAAACAACTACTGTGATAAAAGCTTCCTTCGTATCCCTTTCGAATAGATACCCTCGAATCGCCCGCTGCAGAAGTCTGAAAGAACGACGTGTCGACATACACCAATAAAGTAAAAATACGCGGAAACAACTAACTCTACGTCGAGCACTAACCCAGACGCGAAAACGCCACTCAAACAAAAGTAACGTAATGTTCAGTACATGATTTAAAAGACCGTCATACCGTTTCTTTGATTTTGACCTACACGGTCTCAGCGGCACCGCCGACCAGGGTTGCGCAGACTGCCCCAACGATAAACCCACTGTGTATACGGAGTCTTGAGCCACTTTTGGCAGGAGGATAAAACGGAATACCGCAGAGAGTATCGACACCAACACACCTTGCTAAAGAAAATCCTTTAACTGTAAAATTATACCTAGTTTGCATTTACATAGATAGTCTTAATACTGAGTAAAGTAACTGGCCTTACATGTTAAGTACCTTCTCATGGCAGCGCGCAGCGCGCTACTGAACGATCATAATATATTATGTTAAATGTGTCCGACGCGACTTTTTTCTCCTTAAAGATGCTCTTGCCGAGTGTTTACTATTGCTTCCGAGGTACTCCTCGTGGCCCTTTACTCGGTACTATTGCGATTGATTCGAACGTATGTCATGAGATTAGTTTATATCGTGTTAGGTCATTCAGTAAGGTTCGACGTGCCGAATATTGAGTTTCGAACTCGAGTAAGCAGTTTTTAGTTCATGATGTTTCCAGCTTATTCCGATTGGAATAGGTCGGTTCCGGTTTTACGGGCGCAACTTTAGAGTTTGCGTTTGAACAGCTCGAGCTTAGGTAGGAGTGTTATAAGTTCATGAACTCAGATTGCAGCTTGAATCCGACTTGAAATGTCTCCTTTTTTTAGCTGTAACATGCCAAGTGCTCTCGAGGGCCTTAACTTGGCTCCAGACGACTCTGTCTTGACATGCAGTTCTGCACAAAGCTTTTATAGAACGGGAAGTATTATCGCACGAGCCCGTTCGAACTAAAGAACTAAAAACTAAAGCCTAAGAACCTGTGCTGGCGGCCAAGTGTGTCAGATAGGTCAGCAGGGAATCCAACATGAAGAGTCCATTTATACATGAAAAATGAGCGGAGGCTAAGCCCTGTTCATCGAATTACGAACGTTCAGATGATATCGAGAACAAAATAACCTAAAAAAACCAGAGCGGCAAGTGTATGTATTGACAACTGACTGAACTTGATCTCTTTCATGATGTCCGTTGAATAGTTTATCGGGATCATTCACCTGGACTTGATATCCGGCTGCAAGTAGTAACATATGTGATTACTTCTCGTCACAGTCTAGTCCGTCTTTTCCCGAGTAAATAATGCAAGTACTTTCCTCCCAGAGTACAGTGAACACAAATAACAGGTTGAAAGTTGACATTTCATAGCATCGGACGGAAGCAACTCTGTCAGCAGTCGTTCTCCACTTTCTAAAGGACAAGACTCTTCTCGTTATGACGCAAGTGCGAGTTGTTTGTGCTCGGAAAGCTTTCCAATTTAATCATCCTATAAACATAGACTTCGGATATAACTACACAAGAGTTTATTTATTATAAAAGTTCGACGTTCTGTTCGTTACATGGTTTATAAATTCCTTCATTCATAGGAGGATCTGAAGGCTTGAGCTCTCGCTCAACCTCTAGGTCCTCCACTAGCATTACTTACAAAAAGCCCAGCTGTTTTCCTGACATTTCTCCTATCACCGGTAAGTTAACAAAATAGTCTTCCGTGTGGTTCCCGTTAAACGAGGAGTCACCTTTAGACACGTCAGCATTGTTTTAGATGTCCTTCTACACGACAATCTCTGCCCACCGTTAGGACATATACTAGGCCGTATAATATGAAGGTTACGGAAAGTCATGTACCTCCTTTACCTGTCCGTTCCCCTTACAATCACGTCATCTCAGATCGGACGCTACAGACGAAAAAAGGGTAAGACAAGCACTCGTCACTGAACTAGACTTTGAGCATCCATTTCCCCGTACATCTGAGACGAAATCTTTCGAAGGGTATATCAACTGTGAAAGGTACTCAACATCTAGGCGGCGTTTTAGGTGTGCCTATTAGTAACTGAAGCTAGACACTTTTACAATTTGCTCTACAACTTTATTTTGATTTTATGATAAAAGTGCATGACCTTCTCGATCGAAAAAGAGGTCATGTAACGCGAAACGTTCTTATTATACATAAGGGTACACCAAGACATTGAGACAAAGAAAGTGTTGCGTATCTGTTGCTCCCGTGAAGGAAAAGGGTAGTTCTCGATATCAGCGACGGTTGTGACATAGGAAGTTCCCCTGATCTTTCACGAACCCACGATCTCTTATTCACTTCTTCACTTATTCACTTATTAAGTTATTTATATATTGGATGCTAACTGGCTTTACATTCCTTTCGGTCACAGTCTGCAATGAAATGGCTAACGAACTTACGAAAACTTTATACTATTTGGTATAAGGCTACAGTTGGAGCTCATTTCGCATAGGGTCTTCGCACTATCACACAGTCTACCCTTTCGGGTCCACGACCTGTTACAAAGTACATAGACATACCTAAGTCTTTCGAGAACGTGTCCCTAACATCAAACAACAACCGACTGCCCTTCATTGTACATACGACCACGTCACTACGCATTTAAACACGGAGATTACTAGCTAA